ATTCAAGCCAAACATTAATCAAATAGGAACAATTTCACTCAAAGTATACCTAGACACAGGAGAACTATTGTCGTGAAAGTGTTGTACAGTCGATTACAAATTTAGATTGCAGAGAGTTTGTTCTGAGTGCTAAAGGCACTCACGATAGAGCACATTTTGCTTTATTCTAACAGAAAATCTTCACCAAAAAAATTGTTTGGCCTACATTTACATATATTATGGCTTGCACAGAACTGCGCGCACCAGAATCGAGTGAGTATTTTTTAGAAAGAAAAAAAAAACCCCCATCAAAAATGTGTCCAATGACACCATTGCTATCATAATAGTCGCCAAATACTCATTTCCGGCTTTGCAAAGCACATCAGTTCACAGATTACAGTTTGCACAACACTTCAAGATGCCCAGACAGCCTAGAGTTGGATTTTGGTTCTGGCGGACATAAGACAAGCGACAGGCTTGTCGTCGTCCAATCCGATTGACAACTTTGTGGCCCATGAAGCCATCATTGCCAACCAGCCGTGCCAACATGCGACCCATCAAGTCGTCATGCAGAGGCACTAACCATAGCGATCTCCGATCCGTCTAATAGGAAATAATCATCTCTACAGGAAATAACTATTCTAAAAGACTTGTTATCTACATGGAATGGGCAAAGCAAAAGCCTTGCACAAAAACTCAAATTTCCCATACCTTTACTGGACGTTATGCAATCCAGAAAGGCGGGTACAAAAACCCACGTACAGAACTCCCGCAGGATTCAGTATGGGATTTTCGTGGCGCTCAGACGTTTGATGATCCAAGCCCACAATTCCATGTTTTTGGATTCCCTGCAAAAACCGACTCATAGGAATCCCCCGAACAAAACGGACCAAAACGGACATTTGTCCGTCTGTCCGATCGGATGTGTCGAACTGCTTCTATCAAGGAGTTTCCAATGAATGGTCTCCAAGAGAGCAATTTCAACACCATCATGGTTGCTGGCTTGTTTGCTTGTGCTTTTTAGTTTGTTGGGGCGATCTATTTTTAAGCAAGCTTGCTTTGTCTTGGCGATCCCCAAATCATACTAGCCCACAATTCCATGTTTTCAGATTCCCTGCAAAAACCGACTCATAGGAATCCCCCGAATAAAACGGACCAAACGGACATTTGTCCGTCTGTCCGATCGGACGTGTCAAACTGCTTCCATCAAGGAGTTTCCAATGAATGGTCTCCAAGAGAGCAATTTCAACACGCTCCTAACTCTGAAGATCAGAGTACGAGAGACGTTCAAAAGCGTGATGTTCAGCTGGAACATCACATGAGCTGCACCCGTGTACACACCCATGTTGCCAATGGACAGGCACACCAAAACAGTAGATTGGTATGTGGTGTGCAGCCGGTGATCTTCGAGGACTCAGCGCTAGCGCTCCTGTTTTTCCGCAAAAACATGGAGGCGGCATGTGCCACTAAAGATCACTTCTTAACTGGAGGGGACGAATTGCGGCATGGCGCTCCTGAGTTTCCACGTGAAACTTCCAGTCGCGACGCCGCATGTCCAGGCCCCAGTGCACTTGAAAAACAAGAGCTTGCCGCAATCTTGATGTTTGTCGCGCAACAAAAACACAACAATACAACAGGATGATTGGCGCTTGATATCGGGAGGCCGAGGAAAGTAGGCAGGCCTCCGGATCCGCGTCAAGGCAGCGGTCTTGATTTCCCACAAAGCAACAATTCACCTTGCCTTCGAGCTCCATCACTCCCCCACACGACCGACGACAACTGGCCTTGAAACTGCAAAAAGCAATCTCTCCAGCTGCCGCCACGGGCGAGAAAAACGGAAAGGCCTCCACGGTGCGGCTGATGTTGGATCCAGCGCTGCGACCGCTCCTTCTTTCGTCCAAGCTTCTTGCGCTGAGGAAAGACCGCCTCTGTGGGTCAGTTCCGTGGCGACTGTCCGCTCTTGGCCCTTCTTGGCTCTTGGCGCGGCGCACTTTTGCAAGTTCAATGGGAAGAAGAAAGACACGGTGGGAGCGGTGGAAAAACAACAATCAGCTCATACAACCGTTACGAAACGCTTACCATTCTCCCCACCCTTTTTTCCATGTCGGACGTGTCGAACTGCTTCTATCAAGGAGTTTCCAATGAATGGTCTCCAAGAGAGCAATTTCAACACGCTCCTAACTCTGAAGATCAGAGTATAAGAGACGTCCAAAAGCATGATGTTCAGCTGGAACATCACATGAGCTGCACCCTTGCGCACACCCATGGCGCTAAAGGACAGGCACATCAAATGGTGGACTGGTGCGTGTGTGTGTGCAGTCAGTGATCTTGGAGGACTTAGCGCTGGCGCTCCTGTTTTTCCCACAAACATGGAGACGGCGGTGCCACTGAAGATCACTTGTGGACAAAGGGGGGGACGATTTGTGGCATGGCGCTCCTGAGTTTCCACATGAAACTTCCAGTCGCGACGCCAAATGTCCAGGCCCCAGCACACTTGAAAAACAAAAGGATGATTGTAGCTTGATGGAGGGAGGCCAAGAACAGTAGA